CATAAGAGGCTGACGAGTCCGTGGTCCTTGAGTTGGTCAGGGGGTGGGCAATTTTTAGGTGAGGGCTTAGCAAGGGGGCAGGGCATGCTAAGGATCGGTCGCTGCCCATAGGAAGCGGACGAGTCCATGGTCCTTGAGTTGGACATTTCAAAATCGAAACGATGTGCGAGGCCGAGGAGGTCACGGTCCTTGAGTTTTGAACATTTCAAAATCGAAACGGTGTGGGTCCACTTCTCGAATAGAACATGTGCAAGTTGTATTCAAATACAACGTGTTCCCTTTCTATTTGAATTTCGAAAAAAAACTATTGCATTCCAATAGAACATTACCATCTTTTTTTTTTTGGAGGTCAGCGCCTGCCGTTGTGCTCCCCACCTGCCGTTGTGCTCCCCGCCACTAACATGTTACATGCTGCAGGGGTCTAGTCTCTCTGTCTCTCTCTCTCTCTCTCTCTCTCTCTCTCTCTCTCTCTCTCTCTCTCTCTCTCCTGTCTCTTATACACATCTAGGTACCGCGTGCCAAGCTCGCTGAACCTTATGTATATGAAACCATCAGGGCAACAGTAATGTAGCATCTATGGTGGCACCGTAATGCTGTGGTCAGAAATGGCGAGCCTCCTTCAGTTCAGCAACTACTCCATCGAGTGAAACTGACCTTCGGCACATCATCTGCTTGGATTGAGGCAAAAAGAAGTTGCGTGCGGGCACATTGTTCCGCCTTCATCGGGCCAGCCACCCCTCCTTGGTATTCATTGATGCCTGCACCAGAGATTTTCAATTTCGTTCTTTCTTACAGTACATCAAAGACGGCCTACCTGTCGTCCCCGAATAAAAACATATACTTGTAGCTGCACGTAGACTACTTGCTGACCAATGCATGCACACAAACAAAATAGTTCGCTGATGGAGAATGGTGCACCTACGCCCTCAAGTTCACAACCAGGATGGTTGTGTATACACTGATGTCTTTTGTCGTCTAGCTATCGCATTCCGTATGGGGAATGTCGTCGATCGTTTAGTACGTCTTAGAGGGGTATACAGGGAGTCGTTGCATGCGAAATAGGGGTGCGGTCGCCAACAGGAGACCGACCGGTCGTTTCATCGCGTAACGTGGCTGCGGTCGGGAGAGGGTGGCGTGGTCATGCGGTGAAGAGCCGGGAGGTGGAGGTCGTTGGAGGGTTTCCGGTATAGGAAAGTTTGGTGTTTGATGTGGTTGCACACTGCATAGGCAGTGTGCATCACGACCCGTAGTTAGTAGGGAAGGGATTTCAGTGGCTGCATTAGCCGTAATGTCTGCCAGATTCGTCGGGCTACCATAGGGCGCATGTTGTCTGGGGGTGGACGGAGTTGCGGGTAGTATGCAGGTTTCTGCCGGTGGATGGAGTTGCGGGTAGATGCATGCAGAAACGAAAAAGCGAAAAAAAAAGCAAAAACCTTCCTCAACCGCACATCTCCACAAACACGTCCAGATTCAGCCTTCAAGGACACTGCACGCTGCTCGTGGGACTTGGCCCCTGCGGTGATTGCTGGCAGCGGCAGCCAGTGACTCGGGCGCCGTTGCATGCAATAAAGGGTTGCTGACGGTGAAAGGGGACCGACCGGTCATGCGGGCGGTGTGGTTGCGGTCGTGGTAGAGGGTCGTGCGGTCTTGTTTCTAGTTAGGAAAGAAAGTGTTATCTAGTCGTTCAGTATGCGTACAAAGATCGACGGCCAGAGGTGACCGGGCGCATACGGCCACCCGGGTCTGTTGCAATGTTAAAGTGACAAATCACTTCCCTCTTTTATTTATTTATTTAACCAACCAATCTCTTCGTTCATGTCTGTGGTTGGGGGCCATGTCCACTTCTCGAGGTTTTGTT